CAGGCTGTTTACAAAAGACTTGCCTAATACAGAAGTAAAGAAAGGTCGAAAAAATATGCCATGCATATACTAACCAAATAAAGCTGTTGAGGCTATATTAATATCAGACATATTGACTTAAAGTCTAGAAACATTACTAGAGATAAATAGGCTCAATTCACAGAAAGATGTAAGAATAATAAATAATGTAGGCAATTACATCCCTAAAATATATGGATAAAGTTGAAAGAACTAAAAGGAAAAACAGAAAACTCTATAATCATAGTGGGAGATTTTAACATACTTCTCTCAGTAATTAATGTAACAAGCAGACAAAAAATCGGTAAGAACATAAATTTAAACGAACGATTAGCAATCTTGACTGAGTAGATAGGACATTTGCACACAACAATCATAGAATACACATTCTTTTTAAGAACATTTACCAAATCTGGCCATATCCTGGGATATAAAGCAAGTATCAATACATTTCAAGTGATTAAATTCAATATAGAGTTTGTTCTCTGACAACAGTGCAACTAAGCCAGAAGTCAATAACAAAAAGATAATCAAACATCTAAATGTGTTTGGTAATGAAGAAAAATACTTCTAGTAACTCATGGATCAAAAAAAAAGACATAATAATAGAAATCAGAAAATATTTTGAACTGAATGATTGTGAAAACACAACATATCAAAACATGTGAAATGCAAGTAAAAACATGCTTAGAGAGAAATTTTATAGCCTGAACTGTGTATATTAGAAAATAAGACAAACCACAAATTAGCTGAGCATTCATCACAAAAAGTTAAAAAAAGAAGAGCAAAGTAACACGAAGTAGGTGGGAGGATAGAATTAATAGAAATAAGAACAAAAATTGATAAAAGGAAAACAAACATTCAGTAGAGAAGTTTGATAAAACCAAAAGAAAATTCTTTAAAAAGGCTAATGACAAACCTCTCACAAGACTAAGCAAGGGATAAAAACGGAGACATAACCAACATTAGGAATGAAAAGGACATCACTACAGATGGTGTTGTCACTAAACAGATAAGAGAATATTGTGAACAATCTTAATGCCAATAAATTTCAAATTTTAGATATAACGGACAAAATCCTAGAAAAATGTAAGTTGCCAAAAATTATAATGAAATAAAAATCCGAATCATTTTATAAGCATTAAATAAATTAAATCAGTAGTCAAAAATTTCACACAAATCAAACAGCAGCCTCATCAGACTTTACTGGTAAGTTCTACGAAACACTTAAGAAAAAAAGTGTTATTCCACTCCTACACAAGCTCTTTTAGAACACAGAAAAAGAGAGAACTCCTCAATATTTTTTATGAGACTAACATACCCTTGATACCAAAACCTGATTAGGACATTAAGAGAACAGAAAATTATAGGCCTCCTTTACTTAAAAAAAAAAAACCAAAAAACAAATTAGCAAAGTGAATCAATACATTAAAAAGATGTCTTGACCAAATCAAGTTTATCTCAGGAATACAATATAAAAGATTAGAAAGTTAATCAATGCAAGCCACCATGTTAACTGACTAAATGAGAAAAATCACACAATCATTTCAAGAGTTGCAGAAAAAACAGTTGATAAAATTCTCTTATGACAAAAGCTTTTAAACTAGGAATAGCTAGGAATATCTCTTAAAGTAACATATTTACCAGGATAGACCAGGCTAGGCTGCAATAACAAATCTCCCAATTTCAGGAGCTTAACTCATTAAATAAAGGTTATCTCCCATCAGATATATCCCATGTAGGTTCAAAAGAAAAGGCAGTTCCCTTCCAAGCTGTGTCTGAGGCATCCTAATAGGCCCTATTCATGGCTTTGCTATCTTATAGTTTTCAGATTCACTATAAGAGAATTAGAGGGTCCTGCAAGAGTTTTTATGGCCAAGTCTAGATGGGGCATATATCACTTTCACCCACATGCCATTGAATATAACTCAATCAATTCACATAAGCCCAACCTAATTTCAAGAGGAAGAGAAACAATAGCTTCCTATGTGCCCTGAAAGAGGAGAAATAAAAATGGATCTTAATGAGCACCTGGCATTGTCTCAGCCACAACTGAAAAAGAATAGCTGCAGATAACTTGCTGCAAGCACCGTATGTACTAATGAAACTTGAAAGCTTTTCCTGGTAGTGGTAATAAGGTGAGGATGCCTGCTGATACCATCTCTAGTCAGCATTATACTAGTGGTCCTAAACAATACAACAAGAAAAAAGAATAAAAGGTATAAGGATTGGAAATGAATCAGCAAAATGGTAGGTGTTTTCAGATGATATTATTTTAGACATAGAAAATTCAAATAGATAAACGATTAGAATTAACAAAAGAGTTTAGCAAGGTTACTAGATACACATTCAAGATAACTAAATCAATTATATTTACACATATCAACAACAAAGAGGAAAAAAATGTTTTTTTAAAAAAATGCCATTTATAGTGGCATCCAAAAAAGTCAAGTATCTAGGAATAAATCTTACAAAAGATGTGTAAGTGCACTACAAGAAAAATTGTAAAACATTAGAGACATTTAAGAAGACCTAAATAAGTAGAAAGATAAACAGTGCTCATGGACTGAAAGGCTCAATATTGTAAAGATGTCAATTCTCCCTAAATTGAATTGTAGATTCGATTCAATTCCTATCAAGATTTCAGTAGGTTTTTTGGTTGTAGGTAGGGCATTCATTTTTGTGGAACTTGACGGATTTTTTTCTAAAATTTATGTAGAAAATGCAAAAAGTCAAGAATTGCTGAGATACTCTTGAAGAACAAGGTGGGAGGGTTTGCTTAACCAGATATCAAGATGTATAATAAAGCTACATGAAGCAAAGCAGTGCAGTGTTGTACAAGGACAGGCAAATAGAGCAACAGATCAGAACACAGAGCAGAGAAACAGGCCCATGCACAGATGGACACTTGACATTCGACACAGGTGGCAATGCACAGCGGTAGGGTCGAGGGGGAATAATTGACTATCCAAATGGAAAATAACAGGACTCACATCATGCACAAAGACCCAACTGTGAAAAACAAAACTATAAACCTTTTATGAGATAACGTAGGAAAATGTCTTTATAACACAAAATGCACTAGCCATAAAGGAAAAAAACTAATAACCCAACTACATTAAAATTAAGAACTTTTATTTTCAAAATGATTCTATGAAAAGAACAATAAGACAAGCCATAAAGTGAAAGAAGATATTTATGACACATTTAACCAACCAATAAAAGGCTAATATTTAGAAAATGTGAAGTATTCCACAAATCGATGATTAAAAGGCAGACAACCCAAAATACGGGCAACAGATATGAACAGGCACTTCACAAAAACTTAACCTCGAATGTTTAATAATATATATGAATAAATGCTCACCATCACTAGTAAGCAGGAAAATGAACATTAAAACCACAATGAGTTATAACTACACGTGTATCGGAATGGGAAACCCTGACAATAACCTCATATGGCATGGTGTGGAGCAAATGAAACTCTCATACACTGCTGGTTGAAGGGTAAATAGCTACAACCACTTTAGAAAACCGTTCGGCATCATCTAGTAAAGCGGCAAACACACCTACCATATGACTCAACAGTCCCACTCTTTGGTGTGTATCCTAAGAAATCCGTGCCCATGTGTGCAGAGGGACTCGTGCAGGGATTTTCACAGCAACCTTGTTTGTATTTGTCTAAAACCAGAATCCAAACAAGTCCATCAAGAGTAAAATTGATCAATTATTGGGTATACGATAATGCAGTGGGATGTTATGCAGCAATAAAATTGGTCGTACTACATGAATTTTATTTACATAAGGTGAAAAAGTCTTAAGGATACATTCAACATGACTCCATTTATAAAATTTTCAGAAGCAGGCAAAGCGACTGTTTTTTTAAGGCTGCATCAATACATGAAATATATTTATATTTAATACATTAATAATAAAGGTAAAGCTATAAAGGAAAGCAAGAGAATTAATATTATAAAAGTAAGAATAGCGATTAACTTCTGTCAGAATGGGGGTTATGTAGGGAACTACATGATTATAGCAGAATATACTTTGTAACTGTCAAACCATATGTTTTATGCTTTTTTATGTGCATCTGATATTTTAGAATACAATTTTTAAAAACATATATACGAAATCAAAATATTATCTCACTTCACAAACATTATCTAATTTCATCCTTATTGTAAAGTCCTGCCAAGCATGGGTATTATCCCATTTTACAGACAGGAAAACTGAAGTTCAAATGGCTAAGTATTTTCTTTTTCAAATAACTTGGAATTTGCCTAAGGCATCCTATAAGTGATGGAAGTGAAGCTCCCACGCAAAGCTCTTTGAGTCCCTTGCATACTTTTTACATGACAGTTCTCTATAGCTTCTACAATGTCACTATAGCTCAAACTCAAGATGTCCCATTCCCCACACCTTGAGCCATACAACATCACTAATCAGTACAGCCCATGTCTTTTGTCAAGTAGGTCTTCCCATTCCCTTAACAGCACATTTCTCCAAAGCCAGTGGTGGTCCTGTGCAACCCACTATCCCTCACCCACCCATGCTGGTTCATGCTAAATCCCATCCCTTCATCTTTGATCCACAAAACCCCTTATTAGGATAAGAAACTATATGTAACTATTGTTCTGCTGATGAGTAGAGGATGACAGTGCCTCTGTTAAGTCCCACCCAGAGGGAGGTCATGGTGTTCCTCCAACATACTCTGACCTGAACTGTCCACATTGCTCTCTGGGAGTCTTGTCTGGCTCCACCCTCACAGCCTTCGTTTCAGAAGTGTTACTCTGGGTTGTAGAAAACTCTGGAGGAGAAGCATATGGTCGCTGAGGTGGCCTTTACCTTGCCCACAGGAGCTGGTTGCCCAGGAGAGAATGCCAGGGTCTGCTCCCAATCAGGATACGGCATGGAGATTTTTAGCACCTGAATTCAGTCTAGTATTTGCACGTGCGACACCATTGCTCTCCCTTGCCTAGGAATGTACCAGGTGATCGGAGGTATCATCTCTCCTGTCAATGACAACTACAAGAAGAAAGACCTCGTGGCTGCCCGGCACCGAGTAGCCATGGTCCAGCTGGCCCTGCAGACGTCGGACTGGATCCGGGTGGACCCCTGGGAGAGTGAGCAGGCACAGTGGATAGAGACAGTGAAGGTGCTGAGGTAACGGTGGGCATGCGTTTCTGTGATGACCAGGGACCGCGGGACAGTCTGCAGGGCCGACAGAGTGAAAGGTAGAGATGGAGTGTTGAGAGAGGCGTCAGCCAGGCCTATGACTCAGCCAAAATCCACGTACTTCCCCTTAGAGGGTGAAAGACCAATAGACTCACATTCTCACAGAGGTTCTGAATGAAAAAAACCACAAGCCACTGCCTTCAGGATACACTTTGTGGAAACGCCCAATCTTATTTCAGAGGGCTGTAGCATCTGGCTGCAATGCCACCACTTAGTAGCTGTGTGACTTCAGGCACTTGACCTAACTTCTCTGAGACACATTTCTCACTTGCAAAATGGGGACAGTAAAACCTAATGAGCATTTTAAAGATGTAAATAACTTTTCTGACCTAGAACTACATAAGAATATTCAGTTAGTGGGACCTTTTATTATTGTCATCATTGAGTAGGTTGAAAACTACATCCACATAATAAGCCATCTTTTCTAATTATACACATTCTAGGTTCTATAAATTTAGACTTTAAAACAGGAAAAAAAAAAAACAAAAAATAAAAAACTATGAACCTAGAAATAGTCACACAGGATTTTTTTTTTTTTCTTTTGGAATTGCTGTTAGCATTCAGCATAAGTAATTTGCTATATAAAAGCCCCAGCAAATCCTGCATGTTAGGACAATGGGTCACTGACTTGTGTCTGGGAAACATTAATGGGACTTTGCTAGAGAAGCAGCAAGTCCCACTAGTCCTGGCTTTCAGAGAGGATCGTGAGAGGCCTGCCTCATCCCTAAAGACAGCCAGCTCCGCTGGAAGGGACTGCAGATTGTGGGCTGTGTCTTCTATCTATTTGGAAGCACAAGGATTGTCAGAGAATAAGAAACACGAGGGACAAGGTCACGTAATTGGCAGGCTTGTTCATAATCTGTTTTGTCTTTCATTTTTGGCTTCTCTTCAAAGTAACTTGGGAGAAAAATGTTTAAACCTTTTTAGTAAAGGGAAACGTTTAGTTACATATCCTGGTTCTTATTCTTTACCTTTTACGAGGGAGAGGACCAGCTAGAAGCATTCAGCAGTTACAGTGGCACTTCAGAACCTGTTGCCAAATTAAAAGGAGAGCAAACATGAAATAATTGTTAGAACACATGCTCTCTTTTAACATAAGGAAAAATTTACACCTAGATTATTCTTTCGGAATAAGCCATATAGTCAGCTCTCGTTTACCCAGACTAACAGAGGGGAATGAAAGCAAAGCGATAGGTAACCCGACGAATCACTTAGCTTTCATTTATAATTAGAGACAGACACTGTCCCCCTCCACTCTGTGGAGCATGGCCCAGGGCCCAGATTTTGGAGCCCAATTTACTAGCTAAGTGATGTGATCTAGTGCGTTAGCCTCTCTGAGCCTCAGTTGCTCACCTACTAAAACGGGGATGACACCACTGACTTCACTGGGGAACTGTGTGAATTAAATGAGATGGTGTAGGCAAAACACCTGGTTTGTGGTAGGTGCTTAATAATGTTAGCGACCTTCCCTTCATTTCTAACACTAGCCTGTAATTTATCCTCAAAACAGATAAACCGTTCTCAGATAAACAGTAACTGACGACAGTAGTAGATATTACCAGTGCTCCTGCTGCAAAATGCAGGTGTGAGCAAAGATTTTACTAAACACATTTTTTCTTTTTATTTCTTTTCTTTTCTTTTCTCCCCCTCCCCCGCC